CTGGCATAACTAGTATGCTTTAACCCACTACGCCATCAGACCTTACAAAAGAAGTAGATAGTTCGAGATATATATATCTCAAACATCTCTACCTCCCGAAGGCACCAGATGAGTGAGGGGTTAGTCTGCAATTTTCGTCAAGCCACTGTCAATGTGAGAGAACTCGTGTCCAGCTTATAAGCCTATACTTGCATAAACCACAAGTGAAGATAAACAATCTTTGGACAACACCCACCAGTGGGACTCGAACCCAGAAAGCACAACTACCTTCCAGTAGCTGGCATAACTAGTATGCTTTAACCCACTACGCCATCAGACCTTACAAAAGAAGTAGATAGTTCGAGATATATATATCTCAAACATCTCTACCTCCCGAAGGCACCAGATGAGTGAGGGGTTAGTCTGCAATTTTCGTCAAGCCACTGTCAATGTGAGAGAACTCGTGTCCAGCTTATAAGCCTATACTTGCATAAACCACAAGTGAAGAGGTAGAGATGTTTGAGATATATATATCTCGAACTATCTACTTCTTTTGTAAGGTCTGATGGCGTAGTGGGTTAAAGCATACTAGTTATGCCAGCTACTGGAAGGTAGTTGTGCTTTCTGGGTTCGAGTCCCACTGGTGGGTGTTGTCCAAAGATTGTTTATCTTCACTTGTGGTTTATGCAAGTATAGGCTTATATATATATATATATATATATATATATATATATATATATATATATATATATATATATATATATATATATATATATATATATATGCGAAGAAGCCTGAATGGTCCCCAGGACTATATGCGAATGAAAACTCACACCCCAGAAGTGACTCGAACCCATACTCCCAGAAGCAACGCAACTGGTAACTACAGGGCGCCTTAATCCGCTTGACCATCACGGCCGTCAAAAGGAAGTGATAGCCGAGGCTATTTGAGCCACTTCCCCGACGGCAACTCGGATGGTAATCTTGGGCATAGCATTTCACCAAATCACCTCATTCTTTGGGGCACACGTGAGGAACACAAATGCGAACAAGCCTGAATGGTCCCCAGGACTATATGCGAATGAAAACTCACACCCCAGAAGTGACTCGAACCCATACTCCCAGAAGCAACGCAACTGGTAACTACAGGGCGCCTTAATCCGCTTGACCATCACGGCCGTCAAAAGGAAGTGATAGCCGAGGCTATTTGAGCCACTTCCCCGACGGCAACTCGGATGGTAATCTTGGGCATAGCATTTCACCAAATCACCTCATTCTTTGGGGCACACGTGAGGAACACAAATGCGAACAAGCCTGAATGGTCCCCAGGACTATATGCGAATGAAAACTCACACCCCAGAAGTGACTCGAACCCATACTCCCAGAAGCAACGCAACTGGTAACTACAGGGCGCCTTAATCCGCTTGACCATCACGGCCGTCAAAAGGAAGTGATAGCCGAGGCTATTTGAGCCACTTCCCAATAGTCCTGGGGACCATTCAGGCTTGTTCGCATTTGTGTTCCTCACGTGTGCCCCAAAGAATGAGGTGATTTGGTGAAATGCTATGCCCAAGATTACCATCCGAGTTGCCGTCGGGGAAGTGGCTCAAATAGCCTCGGCTATCACTTCCTTTTGACGGCCGTGATGGTCAAGCGGATTAAGGCGCCCTGTAGTTACCAGTTGCGTTGCTTCTGGGAGTATGGGTTCGAGTCACTTCTGGGGTGTGAGTTTTCATTCGCATATAGTCCTGGGGACCATTCAGGCTTGTTCGCATTTGTGTTCCTCACGTGTGCCCCAAAGAATGAGGTGATTTGGTGAAATGCTATGCCCAAGATTACCATCCGAGTTGCCGTCGGGGAAGTGGCTCAAATAGCCTCGGCTATCACTTCCTTTTGACGGCCGTGATGGTCAAGCGGATTAAGGCGCCCTGTAGTTACCAGTTGCGTTGCTTCTGGGAGTATGGGTTCGAGTCACTTCTGGGGTGTGAGTTTTCATTCATATATATATATATATATATATATATATATATATATATATATATATATATATATATATATATATATATATATATATTTATAATATGTGTGTGTGTGTGTGTGTATGTGCAAAAATAATATTAATAAAACAATTAACATCGTGTAGTGTACTCTATGTATCAAAATATATTACTTTGAAACCCAAATCAAAGCCCCTCCTACCAACTGTGGTAGGCCCTAGGCGTGTGGATTGGCCAGAAATTAAGGCAGCAATTGTTAATGTGGCAATATCGAGGCCTGCTGAGGGGGGAGTTGTGAGGTAGTTTGGGCCGCCTCGCGGTACCTGAAGCCTGGGGCTCCACGCGCGTGAAAAATAGCCTTTGTGCCCTCCCTACCCAAGGTCGTGGTCTGTGTGCGCGACTAGTGTGTTTACACAGAGACTGCCAGGGCACACCATAGAGTGCCCCTACACTACGTGTGAGTGTAAACCTTGTGCCTTGTAGGTGTCTATATGTACATGTGTGTGTACGTAGGGCAGAGTGCAGTGTTGAAGACATACCACCCAACAACACATGAAGTGAGCCGCAGCAAATAGATGGTTGTTGACACGAGAAGTAAGACTTTGAGACAACAACAACAAGTGACCATGGCTGGTGTACCCGGGAACCATAACAGCCCCCATCCCTGCCAGGGGCCCCTGGGTGATGGTCCACACCCGGGGCCCTCCGGTCGGGATCCCAGCCCTGGGCCCTCCAACAGTACTGATACAGGAGACTCTACAACAGACGATGAAGGTTTCAGCCTAGTCCAAAGTAGAAGTAGCAAGAAACGGGATAAGTCACGGCGACAGGGTGAGCAGCAACAGCAACCTCAGTAACAACAACAACAACAACAACGACGACGACACGACGAAGACAGTGAGTGGCACACCCTAATCTTCCCTGCAGGGGTAATGGCAGCATCAGAGAAGTTCAAATGGATTATTGAGGCCGCCCGCGCCCACAGAGAAGTTTATCGTATAGACAGCAGGTGTGTAGGTGGCAATGTTAGTGCACGGGTGCAGGGGCACAGAGCCCTGAAATTCTTCACGGAGAACAGCCTCGAGTATCAAGGTAAGAATGTCAAATTGTTAGAAGCAAACCAACAGACAAGACAAACTAAAATTATAATTAAGAACTATAGCATTCATGTTGACGTGGAATATCTCAGGGACTATAAAGAGATTGTTTGGGTCGAGCGCAACACTGGACCAGGGGGACTGTTCAAAAATCAAGCTCGCTACTTTCCGCAATTTTGATCTGGTAACCCTGGTCCAGTGTTGGCAACATGTTGATGGTGGTCAGACGGCTGGCTCATGGGCCATGCAGGATAAAATGACCACATAATCTGCACCCTTCCATTCCCCATCTCGTACAGACACTCCAGGATATAACCCCTGGAGATTACCTTACACAGAAATAATAGCTGGTGAGATATGTGTGGGACTGATGACTCATGTTGCTGTAACGCCACTGATGTCACCCGCGTCCATCTTACCTCAAGGCTGAAGATAAGGTAGGCATGCATCATATGCTGATGTGTTTCGTCTTATTCAGAAACTATAGTGATTGCTAGTGCTTAAGTGCCAATGTTTGACTTTTGTAGACTCAGACTTGTTTTGCGACTTCGCGTTTGGAGAAAAAAAAGAGACATGAAATTCATTTTTCCAAGAGGGTTTCTTTAACCATAATGCTGTGCACTTTTAAGAGAGTATAGAACACAGTATATATATTGTTAGGTTTATACCTGGGCTCATATATCCAAAATGCACCATATTTTTTATGTATTTTCCGGGATTAACGGTAGGAAAATTGCCAGAGACACCGCGTTCAAATACAGTAGTTAAACAATTAAGAATACAAGAATTATGCTACTGTCTGATTTTATTTTGTGTGTGTGGACAGATTTAAGGTTCATGCTCTGTGATATGAAAAAAATGGCTTACTGATAATTATATAAACTATATGTAATGTATTTTCCCCTTGTAAATTGATGTATATATGACCTTTATATTATATATTATTTAATAAAGAGAACAAAAAATCCACTTCACGAGCCGGAAGTGCCCTTGGGTCACACCTGCCATGGTATAACAACCTGACCTGAGGCATAAGCAATCAGCAATACCACTTACTGCACAGGGACAAAATTTTATTACATTGTGTAATTTCTGTACTCAAAACCACGTTCGTTCATTAAGGTTTCAGATTTCCCAAGGGACGGTTCTAAGGCCCATCCCGTTCTTAACGCCATAGCTGGTAAAATAAGTAATTTCTGATTACATTTTTTTGTGTGTGGATAGGCAGGCAGGAAGGTTACTCAGTAGACAAAATATTGAAGTTCTTGCGAGGCAGGATCAAGTATAACATTTGGGGTTTAAGGCTCATGCTCGGTGATGATATGGAAAATTTGTTTACTGAGAATTATATAAAATATATATAAATGTAATAATTTCCCCCTGTATATTAATGTAAATTTATTCTCCAATTTTTGAAAATCGTTTAAAGGGAAATAAGTATAACATTCAGGGGTTTTAATGATCATGTTCTGTACTAATGAAACACTTGTTCACTAAGAATTATAATGTAGTATTGCCTTGTAAAACTTATGTATATATGATTTATATTGTATTTTCTTAAATAAAGATAAAAAGAAATAAGTTCATTCATATCAGTGTTTACTGATGATGCAAAACGTATGACTAAGAATCAGATCAGAGAAAAAATCTGTGGAAAATTGTAAAATGAACTAGTAAGTCTCCATAGCTAATCTAAAAAATGGCTACCGGATTTTAACCCACATGAATGTGATGATATGAGGATTAGAATAGTTGTGAAAAGACCCCCAAAGTCAGTAGAGCGTGGAGGAGAGGAAGCTTCCCACTTTAGAAAAAAAGAAGATTTAGTAGTAGACGTAACTCTTAATCTAACATGATAGCATGCAGTGCTTGTATATTTTTATATGCTCAGAATCCAACTACTGTAAGATAATTAATACATTTTAACCTCATTTATTTAAATTTTATTAATAAATACATTTATAAATATTGCAAAACTTACACAATTTAATACACTTTTCAGCTTGTAATCATTAATCAACACAGACTACTGACCTGTCGTAATATATTATTAATAACATCAATATTTCCTCGTTAAATCTTGACACTACAACACGTCTCTCACGCAAGCTTTACTTTATACAACAAGTACTTTACTTCCTCATGAAGCTTGAACTCACTCATGAAGCTGAGCTTCCCCATATAGTTCAGCATCCTCATAGAGCTGAGCTTCTTCATAAAAGCTGACCTTACTCATAGAGCTGAGCTTCTTCTTAAAGTTCAGCTTACTCATAATTCTGAGCTTCCTTATAAATAATGTCTATTATGGTCAGAAAATTGATGTAATTTATTTGTATAAACTATTGCAAAACATACTGTATTTGCCCTACATACTGTACAACATATGACTGTAGTCATAAACATGTTGTTCTGCATATCACTTTATTATAAATATACCGTACTATATATGACTGCATCACAATCATCCTATACAACATATGACTAACATAAACATGTAGTTCTACTGTGCATATACAGGTAACTGTATCGTAAACATATTTTACTGCATATGACTGTCTTAAACATACTATATTACCTATCAATGTATCATAAACATTCTGTATTACATATAGTGGCTGTACAAGAATATAACAACTCTTGTATATATCTAAAAAAAAAAAGTGTATTATGACAACATACACACTGTACTACTTATGACTATTGTAAACATCATAAACATACTGTACTACAACATAAATATAATGTATTAAATAAACATACTGTATTAAATAAACGTACTGTACTAAATAAACATACGGTACTAAATAAACATACTATACTAAATAAACATACTGTACTACATATGATTGTATTATAACATGTACATGATGTACTGCAACGTAAATACTGTGTACCGTATGACTATTGTAAATAACATAACATACTGTACTACACATGACTGTATTATGACAACATAAACATTGTACTAACATTAACTCTGTATCATAAACAGCAGAGCAACATAATGATACACACACACACACACACGAGTCAGTTATACAAACTAACTATTACTAGTAATACACAAAATATTGATCTTTTACTAATCAGTTTACATCACACCACAAGTTAATGTATACTTGTACTAATACTGTAAGTTCCACACTGGTTTACCTTATAGTACACACCGGTTTATCACACTGGTTTGTTTTTGAGGCTACATTAGTGTACCCTTTAGTACACAAACTAGTTTACTTTAAATGTTAGGACTGGTTTATATAAACATTTTAACATAAATCTTGGTGTTAAAAGTGTTAATTATCTTTAAACATTATAACGGTTTTTGTACAAGTGATATCTTTCAACGTTTCAGCATATATATTTATACCGTAAGTTCCATATTTAAACATTTTAACATAGAATTTGGTGTCACAAAACCATAGTTTCATGTTACTATTTTTGTAAATTATAAACACGAGAACTCAAGCAACAACAGTAGATAAAATAGACTTTTGCTTAATCCATTAAGTTCGATCAACTGTTTTTTTGCCCCATGTGTTAAAAAATTGTAACGGTAAAACGTCTAGAATGTTTAATGCAGTTTAATGAATTTATTTTAATACAGCTGCAGGAGGTACAGCTATATAGAGAAGTACAACTGCAGGAGGTATGGTGTTCCTCGAGGGTGTCTGGTGTTCTTCAAGTTTGTGTGTTCTTCACTAGGCTTCCTGTTGATGTGAGGTGTGAGGATTCTTGTCATGTCCCACACTAGGCTTCTTGTTGATGTGATGGTTCTTGTGCGTTTTCCACATTAGAATCCCTGTTGACTTGATGGTTCTTGTGTGTGTTCCACACTAGGTTTAATCTTACTTTGATGGCTCTTGTATTTGTTGTACACTAGGTTTCCTTTTGCTGTGATGGCTCTTGTGTTTGTTGTACACTAGGTTTCCTTTTGCTGTGATGGCTCTTGTGTTTGTTGTACACTAGGTTTCCTTTTGGTGTGATGGCTCTTGTGTTTGTTGTACACTAGGCTTCCTCTTCCTGTGATGGCTCTTGTGTTTGTTGTACACTAGGTTTTCTTTTGCTGTGATGGCTCTTGTGTTTGTTGTACACTAAGTTTCCTTTTGCTGTGATGGCTCTTGTGTTTGTTGTACACTAGGCTTCCTCTTCCTGTGATGGCTCTTGTGTGGGCGCCGCTGTGTATTTGGGCTCGGCGGGGCTGGTGATTTTCTTGTTCTGTTTCTTGTTCTTCTTCCTAAGTTATGAGTAACGTCTTGCTTTAATACTCTTCAGAAAATGTTAATGGTGTGTGTTTTTATATTGCAAGATGAGCTCAAAATTACTTAGAATCATAAAGCTACTAAAAATAGCCTATAATCTATCAAATTAAATTAAGTTAGGTCTACATTACTAAATTAACGAACGTTCTTAAGTGTTCTTTAGATCACTTTCATTTAGTAAAAATCATTCTGAAACATCAGTACTTAAAAAATCACAATTGTCACATCACAACAGAGGGTAAATTCAGTACTGATTAAACATCACAAAGATGTTAAAGGCAACACAGATACCAAGATGAGAACAGTGTTTAGTGAGAGCAAAAACACCTGAAATAAACATTATTAAATAACTCACACGAGGTAAACAGCTAGACCAACGATGAGTAAGATGCCCAAGAGCGCGCCTAAGACCGACCCGACGATCACCCCGACGTTGGCCTGGACTGTGGTACCTAGGAGAGACGGGTCAGTATTTCGGGTAAAGAGGGCAGTGGAAAGTAAGCAAATGTTGGTGGCAGAGTATCGGTAAGACTACAGGTATACATGGACTCTCTTGGTGTACATTACGGGGATTACCTGGACTGTCTGGTGTACATGATGGGTATGCCCTGGATTGTAATGGTGTACATGGAAGGTATTATTATATGGACTGTCTTGGTGATGATGACAGATAGTACCTGGACAATGTGAGAGAAGAGGTAATAGGTACTACGTGGACTATCTGATGGTGGGGAAGACATGAAGGGGGGTTACTAGTTATATCTGAGGGGAGCTGGCAGTACCATCATTGCCAGTCATTATTGTTTAGATTTTATTTGTAAGGGAACCATTCCAGCAGTAACAAGAGTGCTCCTCACCACCATACGTTGTCAATGATGACTCGAAAACGTAGCCTTGATCATCGAGGGCGACCACTAGGACCCCGAGCCTCAGCAGGTCCTTAGTGCCTACCATCTGTTGAGTACAGTGGCCCACCTGCCAGGGGTCTCCCACAGCCTGGCACCGGTAGTCCGCAGGAGAAAGGATCCTCGCCGGGTCACTGGGGTCGAACACCACCACCTCCACCCTATTGGGCGTCCTGGAGAATGCTACTTGTACCGTTAGGTTGTCACCAGACCTCTCCAGCTGTGCTATCTCTGGAGTTTCTGATGGCAGCAACAAAATAGGACTTGTACATTTTGGAGAAATATAAGGTTTAATCATAATTTTTCTATTACATTAGGTTTAGATGTTTCATAAGTAAAACAGAACGCTGTTATGAAGTTAAGATATTGTAGCTATGAAATTGTTGTGTATTATTGATAGTATATTATAGGTGACAGATAATTGTGTTCCAAGATAAAGTGACTGGAATATAAATGTTGTTATTTAGCCTCATAACAGCTGCTAACATCTTCACTCGAGCTTGTGCTTACTTTGAAACCTGCTGATGGTATCGTCGCACACTTGTACTGGATTTTTACCGCTAGTGTCGGCGTTATAGCAGCGAGGAATCTCCTGAGGCAGCGTGGCATCCAGGAAGTAACAAGGACTATCCTCTTGCCTGCACACCATACTCCCCACCTGCACCTCCTTCAGGTCACCCGTGTGCACTCTCAGGGAGGAGCCTGAGCTCCTGTACTCATCTCCCACCCAGGCCAGGCGCGACTTCTTGTCTGTTATTCCCAAAGAACCATAATTAGACGTGTAACTTTTCTAGTACGTTATTTTCGGTAAATATATTAAAACTGTTGGCGCTTGTCTGTTGTCCACGCTCCCAGCCAAACGTTCTCTATACGAAAGGCTTCTTATATATAATATTTCAAATTTTGTTGGCGCTCCATACCCTGAGTACTGACATTGTTAGACTACATAAAAATAAATGACGATTAGGCGATATACTTTAACATTAACGAAGAACAAAGACCCGAAGAGGTGTTGTCAACGTCTCATTCTTGACTTACCCTTGATGTCGAGAAGCTGGTAGCCGATACCAACAGTAATGTCACTCAGGTTCCTCGCGACCACAAACACATACCGGGAATCCATTAACTCAGCATCAAACACAATCTCTGTTTGTGAGCCATTGTTAGGCAGGCTCAAGAAGTTCTTCTCTGTTGCATTATCCGCCAGTCCCAGAGTCCAGTTACCTAGATTTTTCATAGGCTCGTGGTCGGCTAAGACGACCATGACGTTGTGGTCTCTGGCGAGCGGGCTGGAGTCCTTCATCACCTTCCTGATCTCCAGTAGCTTCAGTTGTATTGTGCTACTCTTCATGTCTGCAATATAATCGTTGCAAGACAATGACATACCGAGTGTGTGTGTGTGTGTGTGTGTGTGTGTGTGTGTGTGTGTGTGTGTGTGTGTGTGTGTGTGTGTGTGTGTGTGTGTGTGTGTGTGTGTGTGTGTTGAGGCTATCACAGACCTCAGCTCTTAGATCAAATTTTTTTAACTATGTTCCTATGAAATACGAAATATTGTTATTGCATGCTATCACCGAATAATTGGTAGTTTGAGCAGGTAATTTATATTAGTATAATTATTTAGTCATTCTTTATGTATTTATGATTTTTTGTTACTTAATTATTTGTATAACGCTAGGATTCTGTATTCTGAGATGGGTGAAATTTGTCTTACACTTGTAACATAGATTTTTATATGGCATGCACTTATGAGATTTATTTTAAGTAGGCCTACTAATTATATATATATATATATATATATATATATATATATATATATATATATATATATATATATATATATATATATATATATGATGTACTCACATAGTCTACGAATGTACTCCACATCTAAGGCCCAGGTGAGGCCCAGCACTGCCACCAGAAGCAGGCACCTCGATGTCGCCATCTGCATGCTTGGTGGGAGATAAGGCAGAGGAAGCATATTAGTGCCTTTGTGAATGGGGGGTAGGGAGGACTTGTATTAGTGGGTGAGGGGGTAGGTATAGGTGGTTGTAACACGGGTAGGGTTTCTCGTCTTTATCTTTCCTTCTATTCCCCCTCTACCCGTATTCTTACTTTTTTTTATTCTCTACAAGGGGTAGAGGGTATACGGGTAGAGGGGGAGAAGAAGGAAAGATAAGTAGAGAAACCCTCCCCGTGTTACATGGTGAAGGGAAGGCATTTATAGGTGGGGGGGTATAGAAACAGGTGGGACAAACAAAACTTAAGTGGAACAAGTTAAGCTTAGGTTAGGCAAAGAGAATTTAGATTGGGTAATATAAACTTAAAGAAACAAAGGGTAGTTAGACGTTGAGTTAGACAAGTTAGTTAGACAAGCAAATTGAGCCTGACCGAAGCAAATAAATCTTAAGTGAAGAAAGGATAACTGCGTAAAAGGTTGGCAGTGTGTGACAGTGAAAAAACGCAGCAAGGCAAGATGAGTTTACGTGACAAGAATACTGCAACTCTTGAACGAGACAGGAGGCCGCGCTGATAACCGTAAAACACACCAGATAACGAACGATATCGGGCGAACAAAGACCCAGCGTGGAATCCACTGGTAAACAAGTTTGCTTGTCTCTGAGCTCAACTCTCCACGCCTGTAGCTGGTGAGACACTGATCGTGTCAAGACGATGGTACCCGCGCATGAGAGCTAAGAAATCTCACATCATGATCGCGTATTAATTATGAAGAAACGTACATTTTCCGTACTTTGATGGATGGTCTTATGAGAAATAATCTATTTTTCCCCGTTCTTTGTCTCATATCAAGTGAGGTCATTGTATCATGTCAAGTGAGGTCACTGTATCATGTCAAGTGAGGTCACTGTATCATGTCAGGTGAGGTCATTGTATCATGTCAGGTGAGGTCATTGTATCATGCCAGGTGAGGTCATTGTATCATGTCAAGTGAGGTCATTGTATCATGTCAAGTGAGGTCATTGTATCATGTATGTCAAGTTAGGTCATTGTATTGGTCAAGTCAGATGGGATCATTCTACCTAGCTAAACAACATACGGACAGTAACAAATAATATCCACGTTGAATCCTTCAGGTGTAGCTGGGGGGGCGGTTACAGATCCAATAGGCGATATTTTCAAGCCAAATTCAGCTATCAGTGCGCACTAAGATCATCCCAGACCAACTCACCAGTTCGTTTGAAGATTATATTATACCAACTAGGAATAAATAATATGAGAAACACAATTATTAGCCTTTAGTACAACTATGTACATAATATTATTTTAGCCATTGCTGGAAAATTCCAGCCAAAATATTACCTACCAACCGTAAACAAATACTGGCTTTGAAAAGTCCTTGTTACTTACTGTGTACGATATTTAGCGCGAAGAGGAGGGAGTTGTAGGCTACCTTGGCCAGGAACAGCGATGAGGGGTTTCTTCGTGTGTAGGCTACCTTGGCCAGGAATACTGGAGGAGCACTGATGTGGGTCGCTCCGTGTATGTGTAAGCTACCTTGGCCAGGAACACTAACGTGTGTCGCCCCGTTTACGAACTACCTCAGAGAAGAAGACTGCAGGAACACTAGTGTCGTGGTTTGCTCCGTGCACCTGAAGGCCGAGTGTATGCGTGACAGGTCTTGAAGCGTAGATAACACCGACAACACCAGCTACCCTCCCTGTAGTCACCCAACACACTACTTGCGCACTTAACGTTAAGTACCGACACTTGTGGAGGGAACAGCAAGACAAGGGTCCTACTGTACGAGTGGAGATGTAAAGGCGAAGTCCACGAGAGTTGCCTTTCAAATATACGAAGAACTAACCGGAACTGCAATCAACGACCGGCAACTCCTCGCGTTCTGCGTCATCCCGGAAGACCAATAGGAGGCGTCATGGCAGGTGACAGCTTGGGGGGTGTTAACGGATATAGATAAAACTTTTGGAAAATAACATTCCGCGGTTAACACTATCATTCCGGAAGTCAACTTAATCATCTTACTGAAATAGTTTTGTAACTGTTTCAGAGGAAAGACCGAATTAGTAATTTGAGAAGTACTCACCACGAGTCAGTGACGTTCAGGACTCTCACCGCGAGACAGTGACGTCCAGGACTCTCACCACGAGTCAGTGACATTCAGGACTCTCTCATCACGCGTCAGTGACGTCCAGGACTCTCGCCACGAGTCAGTGACGTCCAGGACTCTGTCGCCACGAGTCAGTGACGTCCAGGACTCTCACCACGAGTCAGTGACGTCCAGGACTCTCGCCACGAGTCAGTGACGTCCAGGACTCTCACCACGAGTCAGTGACGCCCAGGACTCTCACCATGAGTCAGTGACGTCCAGGACTCTCACCACGAGTCAGTGACGTCCAGGACTCTCACCATGAGTCAGTGACGTCCAGGACTCTCACCACGAGTCAGTGACGTCCAGGACTCTCACCACGAGTCAGTGACGTCCAGGACTCACCATGAGTCAGTGACATCCAGGACTCTCACCACGAGTCAGTGACGTCCAGGACTCTCACCACGAGTCAGTGACGTCCAGGACTCTCTCGCCACGAGTAAATACTGCCTAAATAGAAAACAGTAATTTCTCAGTTATAAATGGACATAAGCACGTACTGTAGTTTTATAAACAGCTTAGCCTAGGGATGGTTAGGTTAGGCGTTATGATTCTCTTGGCAAAAGTTTGTATTTGCGCAATATTTTAAAGTATTTATTAGGCTGCACTTCGAACACAGGAAGTGAGACACTGCAGAATAATTCAAAAGTAATCAGTGGTGAGTTAATGATAAGAGTTCGTCCTCATAATCATAAGAGTCCGTCCTCATAAACAATGCTCAAATGCTCGCCACTATTATTTATGGATATTGCTATAATATGTATCTCCTGTTAGTACATTTTTAATATTGAATTGTTACCAGGTTTTAATATTAAATATTTATATATTTATCCTTAAATATATTTATATTTATTTAAATATTTAATTTATTTATATTAAATTTATTTAGGGCGCCTGACAGCTGAGTGGACCGCGCTTCGGATTCATAGTTCTGACCTTCCGGGTTCGATCCCTGGTGGAGGTGGAGACAAATGGGCAAAATGTTTCTTTCACCCATGATGCCCCTGTTACCTAGCAGTAAATAGGTACCTGGGAGTTAGACAGCTGCTACGGGCTGCTTCCTGGGGGGAGGGGGGGGGGTTGTAACAAAAAGGAGGCCTGGTCGAGGACCGGGCCGCGGGGACGCTAAGCCCCGAAATTATCTCAAGATAATATCAAGATAACCAATCCTGTTATCCGATCCATGAGCAGCGATCCTGCGAGATGTGTAACCACCTTACTATATGAGGAGTTTGAGCAGGATAAATCCTCTTACTATATGAGGGCATGAGCAGGATAAATCTTCTTACTATATGAGGGGGTTTGAGCAGGATAAACCACCTTACTATATGAGGGCATGAGCAGGATAAATCCTCTTACTATATGAGGGGTTTGAGGAGGATTAACTACCATATTATACAATGTCTTGAGCAGGATAAAACCTCCCTTATTATATGAGGGTTTGAGCAGGATAAACCACCTTACTGTATGAAGGCATGAACAATTTTTTATTAATAATTTCAATCAAACAGGCGATAATAGTAATTACAGGATAAAAATATCCACAAAACAGGTCGAGTATTTTATTTTATATTATATATAGAATAAGAAACAAATCTAATTAAAAAACATAGGAGTTTTTTGTTTACCTGCCGATGAAATATAAGGAAGACACACAATGTAATTCTGACATGTGCACTTGACTATGTGGCTGTTGACAGCATTAATGATCTCGTCAATATTAAGGTGCCACAGTAAGGAAACTTAGCAAGCAAACTAAGTGACTCCTTGCTAAAAGTAACTCACAAATGGTTGTTTAATTCTGCGAGTTTTGATTCCGGTTGATTTTGACTTTTTTTTTTAATTCCGGACTTTTGTTTTTGATAACTTGTGTCGCCAATGCTTCATGTTATCCATATGGCTACCGGTTGGAAGGGGTGGAGGAAGTAGAAATAGCCTAAGCTACTCTATCCCTGTGTGATGTATTTTATTGTCCCAATAAACGTGCTTGAACTTGAACTTAAACCGGCAGGAATTGTGCATCAAATGCCATTCAACAGTACTAAACCATAATGTGAATAAGGAAGCACAAACTGAGTTCTATTTTTTATTACATTTTATGCTATGGCTATACACTGTGATTATGACTAAAGCTATACACTATGAGCACCAAACTTAATCCCAACACGGAACGCAATGAGGAAAGGTTACTGTAATTAAACGTAATATAAATAATATGGTATTGACATAAATTACTGCAATGTTGCGAGAAAATATAATCTATACATATACACACTGGACAGAGACAAGCGAATAACTTGTTTGGTAGAAGTCCTTCAGAAGGTCAGCAGGCCGATTAGGGGTCCTTGTGGGGGCAATCTTCTATTGAGGCTTTTCTTATATTCCCATGTCCTGCGATCCTCTAAAAACCTTTTACGATTGCAACCCTCCGAAAGACTCCATTGTTCCTAAAAGACTCCGTTGTTCCTCAAACCATCCTTTGTTCCTTAAAGAGTCCGTTGTTCTTCAGACTCCTTTGTTCTTCAAAGATTCCGTTATTTTTCAGACTCCGTTGTTCCCCAAAGTCCCTGTTGTTCCTCAAAGATTCCTTTTTTCCTCACAAATGCCATAGAAATGTTAAGTGAGGCGTCGACACTTTACTACGTGCATTCCAGTGCTGGTTAGTGTGTCATTAGGTCCCTTGATGTCATGTGAGATGAGCTAGCTGAATGGGAAAGCTTAATTAACTCGGCTGATTAATATGGTAATCTCGAGGACACGGGGGAGAAATCAGCTGATCGGATAAAGGTGTAAACAAACTTAGAAATATGTGGATGATTTGTAAAGAAAATTTATGCAAATATGTAATTTATTGTACAAATTGTTCATAAATAGTTTAACATAGTATTGTTTACTTATTCAATGTGTTATAATTTGTAATAACTTGTCATAACAAAGAAAGGTGAGGTTAAAGTTAGTGTGTGTGTATGTGTGCGTGCGTGCGTGCGTGAGTATCAGTTGACAAATTTATTTGATCGTAATATCTGAGACCTGTCAAGTAAACTTATTTACATTTAGTTTAATAATTGTGTAAACTAAAAATTCCTGGGTAGTAACTGTTAGTTTCAGATTGCTTATGCCTCCATAGTACAGAACATGCCTATTGATCCCCTCAAAATTTGCTCTGACCTTTACCTAAGGCAGTTTAGAGAAGACGTGTTGAAGGCGCCCGAAGCCTAATGCCTTACGAAACCATGTGTCACAGCTCTAGATAAGGAGTCAGCAGCCTTCTTGACAACTCCCTTAAGCTGTCTCAGGCAGAGGTCACAGTACAGTTTGAGGGGAAGAATTATACCCTTTTTCTATACTTTAGGGACATAAATAATCTAATGAGTTTGATAATGAGTTTGGTTTACACAAAAGTAATGGAATATTTCTCATCTTTAATAATGGAATATTAATCTTGACGAGACAGAAGTTTAATTTATAATTGTTTACTTTTAAGCATTTGAGGCATTATCACAGGGAGCCATACACACTGATATACATCGTGTGTGTGTGTGTGTGGACTACCACACACACACACATACACACACACACACACACACACACACACACACACACACACACACACACACACACACACACACACACACACACACACACACACACACCTGCTCGTCAAAGCCACACCAGGGAGCCAAATATGAGGTATTGGGTATTGTACACATGGTATCTACTTCTCCCTGAGCTCTTAATTCTGCAGATCCCAGCCAGCACTAGCCCTGCATTGGTCCCATACAACACTGTCACAAGGGCTTCAACTAATTTGAGATGCTGTTTTGAAGAGTTAATGCATCACAAAGTAACAGTTGAACGCCAAAGATGAAAAGAACTACGTTTTCAGCATGTGTTTTAATTCCTAGTACCACGTGTTAAAATTAAAAAAATCTATTGGCCAAGAGTAGTCTTCTGAGCATCTCGTTGTAAGCTCTCGTGTTGCTTCTTGAAGCTATATGATTACACGGATATAGTATGACGTCAGGGGTGTATAGAGTGATGTCACGGGTATATGACGTCAGGGGAGGACTTCGTTGGCCTTGGCAGTCTTCACCATCCCCTCCCTGTGCTCTCGCCACGAGTCCTGGAGGAATGCAAAGCCAGTAAACAGGAAAATCAAGGAGTGACATATATAAGTTATGATGTGGAGTAATGGCCCCGTCACCACTTATTTATCATGCAAGACTTCCAACTGTGGTTAATATCTTGCGTGAAGATCACACCGCCCGCTATCCCTTCCTCTAATACTGCTACTACCTACTTCCTACTCCCTTACAAACTAACTTTCCTGCTACATTAATGTTCCAGGTACTCTAGAGTTCCGGACAGTCTGAGTAATAGCTTCCTAACACAGGAACACATGACGCTTACTAGCGTGTCAAGTGGCACAGACCACACCGGACTCAATAACGTGCTAGCAGTGCAGGAGGATACAACTCACCCACTAGCTGGTATTGGAGAGAGTAGTCGCTACTGGCGCTTGTCCCAGACGTCTCGCTCCCCATTCATCGTATATGTACTGTGGGCGGAATCTACAGATTAGACCGGGACAGAAGTAATATATATATATATATATATATATATATATATATATATATATATATATATAAAAAGTTTGTGAGGGTACCACCTCTGGTGCCAATGTGGGGACCCATAGCCTCGGAGAAGAAAATAAAAAGTATTCAGAGGAGACCTTGTGGTCTCTCACTGAACACTAATATTATCTTCTCCTACCACCCCCATTCTTTTGTATGTACACATATATATTTACTTTATTTGAACTTTGTTACAAAAAAGGAGTTACATATGGGTTACAAAGATGGTTGTCATAGGTTGTCGAGTTCCTCCAGCTCCTCAGATATATATATATATATATATATATATATATATATATATATATATATATATATATATATATATATATATATATACATGTATGTATACAATACATACATGTATGTATATACATACATACATGTATTACCCATGTATGGGCCAATAGGCCCATACATGGGTAATAATAGCATAAGATAGTACATATTAAAAATGAATTAGTGAGACAAATGTCTATCAATGATTCTACTCAAATCGGCCTTTAACTGATCAATCAAAAATGGATCAAAATTATATAAACCACAGCTAATATTCAAATTACATGATTTTGTAATCTGTATTAAAGCAGATTCAATTATGTTGATATTGAATGTATAACTTCAAGTCTCTCTACTCTAATAAACCCAATGTACCTTCTTGTATATAAATAAATAGAATATATAAAATAAATAAAAATAAAAAATAGAGATGTTAGGAAGTTTTTATTTAACGTGATAGTGGGGAAATGGAATGACCTAAATGAGAACATTATGAAAGCAAACACTATTCATAGCTTTAAAACAAAGTATGATAGAGAGGAAGGATAGGAAACATTGCTTTAAGCAACCGAAGATTAGAAAGGAGGTTGGTTAGAAAGCTAACTCTGGATCCTGCAGGCGCAAATTGGTGAGTGCACACACACTTACCTCTGCGGGCGCCATCTCCTGGTCATTAAGAGCTTTTCGCTCTTTTTTCTTGACCTGCTGACGCTTCCTGCGGGTGAGACACAGGCGGTGAGCATAGTGTAGGCTGCTCTCATTATTGTTGTTGTAACTGTCATTATCACATATATATAATTGATTCATAGTTAAAGTGAGATGCACGTTCAAGTTGCTGAAGGTGTGTGTGTGTGTGTGTGTTTGTGTGTGCGTGCGTGTGTGTGCACGTGCGCGCGCTCACCTAACCGCTGACTTAAAGCTACACAAGAAGATTCCATGGTTCCTTACACAAAGAAGAAGATGACACAGGCGAGGATGGTGACCCCCAAGACGCCACCGAGGACTGCTCCAACCACGGAGCTGCCACCACCTGATGGGGAAGGTCAAGCAGAGGTCACACACACTACGCTGAGGGTACAGCCGGGTCACAACTTACACACACCAGTCTTGCCCACTCATTGATCATAACGAGAACGAAGCATATTAAGAGGTCATAGATGTATCAAGATAGGTCAGAGGTCACACAGGTCCCAGGACAGATACGGGCACGGGCGTGAGTCAGATGTGAGATACGGTAGGTCAGGGGTCAGATGTTGGCTTGGAAAGGTCAGGAAGGTAAGGAGCCAGTCAGGGCTTGGACGAGGTCAGGGGTCAAACAGGGATTGGGCGAGGTCAAAAGACAGATGACGGTCGACGAAGAGCAGGAGTAAGTTAAGACAGATTTAAGTTCAAGTAAGTTTACTGAGATAATACATCTCAGAAAGATAGAGTAGTTTAGGCTATTTCTACCCTCCATATGGTAGATGTAATTGAAATGTCATTAAAAGGTCAATCAGGTCATTCACGGGGATCGACGCAGATCAGAAGTCATGCAAATCCCTTGTCGAGTAAGGGACTCTCATAGTCAGGTCAGAGGTCAAGTGGGATGATGCAAAGGTAGAAATTACAAAATATCATCAGATTAGCTATCTTGCAAGAGTTAAAAGATTACAAGTTCGCGCGAGAACCTGAGGCCACGAATGTCTAATTATAACAAAAGTCATGTTATGTAGGACGTTAGAGAGCAGTCACACTCACACAGAAAATATAGTTATTCGAACATATTTACAAACAAAAAAATAAAGAACATGGAAAGTATGAATATCTTGCATATTCTGAACTGAGAACAATAAGTACAACACATTTTAAGTCTTCGTGTTCTTCAAGACCAGAATTGTTGTACATAATCGCTACATCCCTCAACCCACCTCCTGCAATCCCTCATACTGCGGCCATAATATCACTACAGTGTTTTCCTCAATGTTACATACAGTTCAAGGGGCGGTAACGAGGATACAGTGTCACATTAGAGTGCCATCCTTGTCATGGTACCCCCATCATGTGGTTACTCCGACCGTAGCCTCAACCTGGAGTCATTGTTACCAGAACTACAGTATCACCCTAGCCATCCTAGCCTAGCACCCTAGCCTCGGGCTGCCCTTATGTTCCTGTAACCTTCAAACAACCTCCCTCCTCTCCCTTCAACCAAAGCCCAAACCCCATTTATAGGCCATTTCAACCCATAATTCTGCCTTAGCTTAATTACTATAGTACCATCTGAATTCTGTTACTTCTCATAACATTGGTGCCACCTTAGACTTAGAACTAGCCCACCGTCAGTGCCCAACCAAGTATCAGTGCCAGCCAGACTCACTAGTGTTTTGGTCCAGTATGGTCATCTGGGTGGCGTCGCCGCAGTGGGACTCGTCAGTGCAGGCCTGGACGACGAACACATTGCCCATCATGTCCTCCTCCGTCAGCGTCACCCTGGCACCGGACAACGTGGGAACTTAGTGTCTGAATGATAACATCACTCATACTATCACTCCTCTTATTATAATAACTAAAAACAACATAAATAACTTAAAACATTAGCAATGATACTAAAACAAAACTTTGTTTTGCTGCGTGGTCGTCAGCGACTGGTTCCTCAGATCCCAGAGTCGCTCATATTGAATCTGTTCTTATTTTAAGAACTATTATAAAACCTGTTATTAGCTTATGATCTATTGTGAACCTGTTCTTATCTTATCATTTATTGGAGCAAGAAAAATGGAGAAAATAATATATATGCGCTGAAATACGAAACATCTTGGAAGAGCCAGGGGGACGAAGAAGACCAGCTCCAGCCACTCCACAGCCTCACCAGAGAGGCAGCGCTTGTTGCTTCGCCCATCTCACCACGGAGAGGCTCTCGTTCTCGTAGAGACTCAGCTGGTAAAACTTGGCGTTCTCGACCGCTTCCCACTTGACATCCACCTCGCTACTCGACCTGATCGTCGTAGCCACAGGCCTCATTCCTGCCGGAAGAACAACACGAGCTTAACACTATGCGCACGGGACAGGTAATTCCGGTAATTGTCAGGGGAAAACGCTCAACCATTATGAATATGTAGCACATGGAATGGATAAGGGGACATGGAGCTGGGCTGTGAGGACTAGGTGAAGGAAAGGTGCCCAACCACTCGGATCATCGGGGTTCGAACGCCGATCCTGTAAGAATTTAGAACTACTCTACCGACCAGTCCAAGTGGTTGGATCGGTGGGTTATACTGGGGTATAAATTCCTAACGTGTAGATGCCTAGGGAGTAAGCACCTAGGGTGTAAATACCTGGGGGTGTAAATTCTCGTTCATGCACAGTACAGTAATCTACTCACCGGATATTTGCATCATTGTGAAGTTCAGATCGTAGGACTCCTGCGAGTACATGTGGACACTCACGGTGAGCACCACTGGCGGCTGGATGGTTTCTAGGGAAAACTCGCAGGAGCAGTCACCCTTGCTGGCGTCGCCAGAGCAACCCAAGGTGCACTGATCTACCGGCTGGGTGTCCTGGAAAATGTCGACAATATATCTGTTGTTATCTTGAGGGGTCGGCTCTTCATACCAGGCCACCGTCATCTTCTTACTCCCCACCTGGAGTATAGACGTCGGCACACCTACGAACGCAGACAGTGAGAGGCTTAGTAGTAGGCATCCATCAGTCTCAGGAGACTGAGTTGTGTTTGGGTTGTCGGTCTGGAGTGGCTTGGGTCCACTGTATAATAATCATTTCTTGTAAATGCATAGATATTGCAATGGAAAAAAAAGGTTTATATCTAGTTGGCATTACATTTATAAGGTGTGAAGGGTAGATGTAATTGTTACTGTATAAATCTCCGCTGAGGTCTACGACTTTTTGTGCCTTCTGTAATACTTTTTCGCGCTACAGTTCACAGGATGTTCACAGTAAACTAGCCACCTTCGGTGTATGTACACTGAATTTACTCTAGTTGCGGCATTCGTTCAAGACTTAAGTAATCCTACTTTTTGGTAAGTTAGCCCCTAAATAACCCTCCAGTGATAGAGTAGGCCTAATACCAAACAATCTATATTTCATTCGCGTGCACATATATACTGTACAGAGATGTGTACTCCACTTCTCGGTGCATACACAGTCTACTGAAAGTTTACTGTAGTCACTATGCTCAGGACTAAAATATTCTTGCTGGTTGGTCAGTATAAGCTATTGTGACGGACTTACTAAACCTCCCGAGGCTGGCAGGCTTCAAGTCCAACATCAAACCATAGATTGCTCACTAAATATTGGTGAAAGGAGACTTACCTGGGATGGTGACGGTGGTTGTGTTGGGGTCGCTGCAGCTGTCAGCGCTGAGGGCCCTCACGCTGACGTCCCACTTGCCAGGAGCCACCTGTAGGTGGTACGAGGTCTCACTCACCTCCAGGTGATCGTCCTCGCTGGGAGACCTCCACTCCACCATGTAGGTAATGTCCCCTGTGTTGTTATCAGTCCACTGTAGCTCCCCTCCACTGGGGTTCAATAGACTCGGGGGAGACAATGGTGTGAAGTCAGCTGAAAGACGTATTCAAATACATTAATTAGATTCTGGCGAATGAGCTTGTATAATTTTAAAAATCTTAGTATATATGCCTGTTCCTCGCCTTGTTTATTCGTCAATAACATGCGTCAAGAGTACGATAACCTTTGCTCCTCCGATGAGCCAACCAATCAGGAGGCGCGTTTCGCACGCTTGCTCAGCAAGGGTTAAGTTAATTAATATGATATAAAATTGTATAAATCATAGTTACGGCCACAAATTTTGGTCATGTATATATATTAAATAAAATAACTAATATCCAGACAATGAACTTTATGGTCTGTGAGTCAAAAATAGTTAAATACTAACTAGGAAATTTAAAATAAGTAGCCTAACGCCCGAGTTACGATATGGGTAAGTGACATACAATCATTAATTGACATTACAATCTGAACAAAATAATAATGCAGCGCTCATGGATGATCGTTTGTATTAATAATAAAGATAAAAATGATGCAATATAGCCACTAGTGGTTTTAGGGAACCACTAAATAAATCTTGTTATCTGTACCGGGATTAAGTGATGTTTGGTAACTTGAGCGCCAGAAAAAGTGAGTCAGGTCAGTCACGCTCAGACTCCCGTCGGAGGAGGAGGTGTGTTGTTAATCAGTACAGCTTAGTGTTAAAGAACTAACCTACTATAAACTCAAGTTACCACACTAAACATTCTTGAAGTATACACCCTGAGAGTCTGCTAAACTTTAGGCAGTATGGATGTTGCAGGGAACTGATGGACGACGACGGTATGAGGCTGCAAGCACAGGTGAAAGACATATGGCTCTACCCCGCGCCATTTGCCTGCTCGCGAGCAAGACATTGAGCTGTGTGAGGCAATATACCGACTTGTAAATACTTCATTTGGCCAATGTGTTCAACTTGAGCGGTCATCTATCCGGCAAGGTGGATAAGCCTTGGGACAACGTCCACAACAAGGTTAGTTTAAGGTTTTACTCGTTTCTTTTTGTCTTGGATTCCAGGGAGGCTAATAAGTAAGGTTTACCAGGAGCAGTGGGAAGGGAACGCTCTCAGCCTGCTAACAGTCGTCCCTTCCTGTACCTGTACCCACCTGTGTGTTCCTGTACCCACTTGTGTGTTCCTGTACCCATCTGTGTGTTGCTGTACCCGCCTGTGTGTTCTTGTACCCACTTGTATGTTCCTGTACCTACCTGTGTGTGTCTGTACCCACCTGTGTGTTCCTGTACCCGCCTGTGTGTTCTTGTACCCACTTGTATGTTCCTGTACCCACCTGTGTGTTCCTGTACCAATCTGTGTGTTTATGACCACGCATACACCGGTATGATCATACTGAGGCTGGTGTATGATTGTGCTCAAACTATACAGTGATATCTTGGCTAATTAGCCTAGTATCACGAATATTATAATTATTAGCTAATTCTTCTTTGACAGTATATTGTTGTTAATTTGGGTATTGACAATGTATGTCATACATAACCCACTATATTATATTTTTGTATCAAAGATGTATGCTATGTATTAGAAGTCTAGAGTATAGCAGTAGCCTAATGTCATGTAGCTTGAAAAATCTCCTTGTATGCTTATTGAATGTAATGCTACATTAATGTTTATAGGAAACATTATGTGGACCATGATGTAGACCATGAGTTAGTAGGTGGTTATTATTTTAATGTTATGTGGATTTATATTAATGCCGACAAACTGGAATGTTTTTTGCTAGCCTTTCACTTTCTCTAGAACATTGATTGATATTTGGTCAGGTTATGTGTTCCAGTGATGCTGAAGGTTACTCCCTCTCATAACATATAAATGGGGGCACTCACCGTGAGATCATAAGTGTTTCTGTACATACCTGTGTTAGGAAAAAAAATTCTTTGAGTGCCTTAGTAAGCTGGACGTAGCTTTACCAAGCGTCATGCATTTCTTCTTGAATGGCTGTCAGGAAAAATTCTACGAAACGATGTTCATGCAAAGTTTTTAGGGATTTTGGTATGGTTCACCTACGGCTCGACAGAGGTCACTTCTGCTTTTTCGTTTGACTAATCAGAGTGAACAAACGTATTCATCATATCGTTTAGTTAATAATGTTGTCGGGTCAAGTGGAGAGCTGAACAATCGCATACGTTTGTGGAATGGTAGCTCGTCTGTCACCTGCTACCTATTTTCGTCTTATTTTGTTATAAAATGAGTTTATTTCTGAGTAAAATAGTTTTTTCACGTTCTACTTTCAGCACCTTTATTGTGTGTTTATCTGTCGGTGATTGCTGGGGCGTCAGATCTTACTGTTTATGCCCCGCATATTGACTGTTTATATTGGGCACGCTAATTACCTCTCTCAGCATTAACTTTTTCGTTATGTTTTTATGTTTAAAGTTGTGGTTGGAATTGGCTTCAACAATCTCTCCCTTCAATACATTTCACTTGTCGACTACCCGTACAGTGAACGCCAAGTTCCTTACACCTCTACTACTAGTTTCGTGTCCAGCTTCCCCTGATGTTTCTTTGCCTTGCCTTTTCATTTAATTACGCTTTCTTTGTCCACTCGCTATTCCCCTTAATTTCTTGTATGTAGTGATTTTTCATCTGTTCTGTAAGGTTGTGTGTATTTACTATTTGTGTATGCAGGATCGAGCTATTAGCTCTTGGGCCCCGCCTTTCTAACCAATCTATTTTTCCTCTATTATATCTACTACATATATTTTTATCTCTATTAACATATATTAAAGATGTTTGAATCTCTGTAGTATGCATATCATTTTATAGCATCAGGCTGTATTTTCGCCAACGCACCTGCAGCTTAAATTTTGTTGGTAGAAGTTAACTTTACCTGCATCTGGAAAAGTACATGTAACAGAAATAAACTTTGGTATTACCGAGAGACGTGTTGCTGCAAGCCGGGGATTGAGCCATGACGTCGTTCACAATGGAGGAGACGCAGAAGGTGTACTTGGCGTCCTCCTGCAGGTCCTTAACCTCCACACTGGTTTCAGTAGCAGGGACAATGACGAAGTCCGCGTCCCCCTCACCACTCACCCACTGTTGCAGCTCCTCGTGTGACCTCATGAGAGACTGAGGTGGCAGACGGCGGCGAGGGCTTCTCTTCGATGAAGGGTTCACGTTCGACCAGCTCACATAGTAGCCAGACACGTTCTCTTCGCCCTGGGGCGGCTGC